CCGGTACGTAGCGCCGGCTGTCGTTCGATATTTTGACTAGTTGTGGCTATTTGTCTTTTGTTTATTTAAAAATTTCAAACTTTTTATTCAGAATTTTAGAAAAAATCTTGATATGCAGTTTTGTAGCCCATTTAATTCTAGTAGAATGAAGTGCAAGTTTCAAGATGCTACAAAATTCCGCAACTTTTTAGCTGGAGTGTCCTCCATATAAAAGAAAATTGTCGAAAATGTTATGTATGATATGGCTGGTTGTTCAAGATCTAATGTAAAATTCGGGAGCGTCTCATTACGCTGCATTACAAAATACTACATCGCAAAATTCTGCAAAATGTTAAAAAATTCTGCTCGATCAAAATTCTGTATTTTTTTAATTCTACCTTTTCTAATTCTTTTTCAAAATTCTGCTTTTGAAAGTTCCGAATTTTGAAATTCTGTCTCACACAATTCTACTTTTCGCACTTTCGTCTTTCAAAATTCTGCTTTTTTTAAAATCTGACAAAATTTACCATATTCGCATCTTTGGCTGTGTGCCAATCGGTAACTTTTTCTCCGTGGTGAGACGAGTTGGAAAAATTTACTATGGTGTACGAATAAATTGAATTTTGCTGTGCCAAATGCAAAGTAAAATTTTGACAACTGAAAAAGCAAACAAACGCTCGTGCGAATGCTTTATTTTTGTGTTTGCGGAAATTATTAAAATTGATATCTACTTTATAACTTGCAAGTAACGTAGGCCTTTTTATGCTTTTTTCAGCTTTCATTTTGATTTCGACTCTTTATTATCGTCAAACAATATTAGGTTTGTTCCACAAGCCACTCGAAGTCACTTCCGAGTTGCACATACATACACGTTCCACAATTAAGTTTTAGAGTTTTTTTGATATACGCTCACAGTTGGAACTTTGCTCGAGTTTTTCTACAAGTAGAGTGTGGAACAAACCTATTATGTATGTATGTATACATATATTTAGAAGCTGTCAATATTTTACCTAGCCACATGAGCTAGGTAAAATTCTGATTTTTGTATTCACCACGATAAATATTTAATTTTTGGTTTGATCCGTCAAAATTCTATCTTCCGACTTGCATAAGTAATTTCGTTTTTAATAGTTTTTATAAGCTGCTTCTTTTTAATTTCCTGTTATCCTTTCTAGAAATTTGGGATTTTGCAAAAATAAGTTCTTGTAAATTCAATACAAGATTAAAGAAACTGGGAATTGCTTCCTACAACAACTACTTTTTACGGCGATGCCACCCTTCGCCTCGGTTTTACGTTCTAGAAAAGGTTTCTGTTTCCGATGCATGCTGCACTGCCCAAAACTCAGGAGAATATTTCGCGTTGATTTTTTCCAGTAATAAAAGTTTTTTCTGAAAATCAAAATTCTGTATTAAAATATAATGTAAACAATGTTAAATTGGACATGTCATTACTTTGAAAAAGTGCGCACTTTTTAAAGTAATGACATGTCCAATTTAACATTGGCCCCTATTATGAGTTGCATTCGATTTCCGACTGTGGTCGAAAGTGCTGAGCGAACGAATTTTCATTTGGTATTATGGCGCTCATTCGATGAAGAATAGCGCTATTGTAAATTTCGCTTGTTTAGGTTGTTCACAATAGTATATTTTTCACTGCTGAGAAGCTTTGTTTACAAATCGAGCAAACTAAATAGAGTGCTTATACATATGTACATATGTAAATTTGTGCATACTAAAATGAAACAAAAAAGAAAGCGAGTTTATAAAAACGTGGTAAAAAAAAACTAAAATTTAATTAGTACAACGGAGTTCTGGTGAACGATTCGTCAGAGGATGAGGGCTTAAAAAACTGGCCAGGAGCAGAAAACGTGAGAGTTTAAGTGCAGTCTTTCGAATATATTTTGACATACAATATATTTAAGAAATTTTGTGATCCTAATCTATCTAAAATATATTAAAACTATAAACAGCTCCATGATTTTGTTTTCAGAGATCGTGCCAACAGCGTATAGGGATTTTCTTTCATATGTAAAACCAGACTTTCGAGCTTGTGTTTACTACTCACGACGTTAGAACTGCTTGAAATTAATACAAATTGTTTAAAATTAGTGTCTAGCCGCAAAAAAGTAAGAAAACAAATGCAAAATCATACAATTTTTAAATTTTCTAACATTTCGCTACGCCAACGAAAGCATAATTCTGTTCGAAGGAAAATTCGATACTCAACGAAAATTTCGACACGCTTGCATAGCTCATAATACGAATTTCAACTCATAATAGGGGCCATTGTTTACATTATACTTTAAAACAGAATTTTGTAATTCAGTATTTTGAAAAGCAGAATTGTCAAAAGCAGAATTTTCAAAAAGCAGAACTTTGAGACGCAGAATTTCGTGTACCGAATTTTGTAGTATCAGAATTTCGATACCAACTCGTAAAATTCGTATTATGAGCTATGCAACCGTGTCGAAATTTTCGTTGAGTATCGAGTTTTCTGTCGAACAGAATTTTGCTTTCGATAGTGTAGCGAAGTGTGAGAAAATTTTGAAAAATTTATAATTTGCGTTTGTTGTTTTGTTTTACTTTTTGGTGGCTAGACACTAATTTAAAAAAAAATTTCTTAGTTTTATGCAGGTCTAAGGTCATGAATACCAAACAGCAGCACGAAAGCCTGGGTTATGTTATGAAGGAAAATCCCAATTCTCAGTTGGCATGATATCTGAGCGCAAAATCGCATAACTGTTGATAGTTTTAAAATATTAGACAGTTGAAAGTTTTTAATAAATCTAAATATATTTTGTGTAAAAATTATTCGAAAGGCTACACTCTCTTAAACGTTTTCTACTCCTGGCCAGTTCTACTAAGCTCGCATCCTCTGATGAATCGTCGAACCATAACTCCACGGTACTAATTTTCACCAAGTTTTTATAAACTCGCTTACTTCTTTACTTCAATTTAATTTGCACAAATTGACTTACATATAGGCCCTTATTATGAGCTGTATTCGATTTTCGATCTTCGCTGGCTATCGAAGATCGAAAGTGAAATTCGTATTATGAGCTATGCAAGCGTGTCGAAATTTTCGTTGAGTATCGAATTTTCTGTCGAACAGAATTTTGCTTTCGATGGTGTAGCGAAGTGTTAGAAAATTGTTAAAAATGTATGATTTTGTATATGTTTTCTTACATTTTGGCGGCTAGACACTAATTTTAAACAATTTTTATTAATTTCATGCAGTTCTAACATCGTGAATACTAAACACAAGCTCGAAAGGCTGGTTTTACTTGTGAAAGAAAATCCCAATACTCTGTTGGCGCGATCTCTGAGAACAAAATCGTAGCGCTGTTGATAGTTTTAAAATATTTTAAATAGATTTGGCTCACAAACGCTTCTTTAGATGGTCGGAACTTTTTAATGAATCTGTAGACAAATTTCTTAAATATATTTTATATCAAAATATATTCGAAAGACTAATAAACTTAAACTCTCTTAAACATTTGCTACTCCTGGCCAGTTTACTTAGCTCTCATCCTCCGACGAATCGTTGAACCAGAACTCGTTGTACTCATTTTACTACGTTTTTATAAACTTGCTTTCTTTTTTACTTCATTTTAATTAGAACAAATTTACATAAATATGTATAAGCACACTATTTGGTTTGCTCGATTTGTAAACAAAGCTTCTCAGCGGTGAAAAATATACTATTATGAACAACCTAAACGAGCGAAGTTCACAATAGCGCTATTCTTCATCGAATGAGCGCCATAATACCAAATGAAAATTCGTTCGCTCAGCACTTTCGACTACAGTCGAAAATCGAATGCAACTCTTAATAGGGGCCATAAGCACACTAGTTTGCTCAATTTGTAAACAAAGCTTCTCAGCGGTCAAATATATACTATTGTGAACAACCGAAACGAGCGAAATTCACATTCTTCATCGAATGAGCGTCATAACACCAAATGAAAATTTGTTCGATCGGCACTTTCGACCACAGTCGAAGATCGAACGCAACTCATAACAGGGGCCTCTGTTCGACAACAAATTCGATACTCAACGAAATTTTCGACACGCTTGCATAGCTCATAATACGAATTTCACTTTCGATCTTCGATAGCCAGCGAAGATCGAAAATCGAATGGAACTCATAATAGGGGCCTTTAACTGCTTTATATAAACCGAAAGTTTGTATGAAGACGTTATCTTATAGAGCTCTTTAAACCTATTTTATTTTTTATGAATAAGGCCATTAAGGTACTGGCCTAATGCAGGATTGCTTTGCTCGCTTCTCTTTGAGAAATTTCAATAATTATTTGGAATATACCAAAACGTGTGAAGGCTGGCCAAATTGCAGCTTTGCTGCATTTGCTTTAAGCGCCTGACAGTTTCAAATAGGTAAATATTTTATTTGAAAGTGTTTTGTAGGCTTTTGACAAAGAGGTATGTTCCCATTCTAAATAAATTCAAACAAAAATTTGCTTATTTAATAATTTAAGCAATTCGAATCTTAATAAAACTGGTTCGTTTTTTCCAAATTTATGTTTAACATATCGCTAGCGAAGAGTAAAAAACTGCAAAGTTCACTTTTACAAATTTTACACGAGAGGAAGAAACTTATAGCCTTTTCTTCAAGTATATCGCTTTTTTGAGTTACTAGTTCTTTTAGTAAATGTAAATATGCATATTTATGTATCATTATAACCACTTCTTTGAAGTACAAACATTAATTTCCATTAATTTAAGGATAGATCTGAAAAGATCGAGCATTTTTTACATCTAGTGGAGCTTTCTAGGAAAATAATTTTTAAGGTTAAGGGAACAACAGACCTTGAATTTTCAACGACATAGCTAGTTACTTTGACAGCGTTTCAAGCCGCCATTTGGCCTGGCCTAACAAGTTTTCAAAGTAAATCAAAGCAAACTAAAGTAAGAAAGGCGGGAAAAGCAAGCCTGCATTGGGCCAGTGCCTTTAGTTTTTAAAAACCTATTTCGCCAATGTGTTTGAAATGAAAAGAAAAAAGTGTCTTCTATTTATATCTTTATTATATGTATGTATCTTGAAATCTTACAGAGTTCGTTTTATGGGTATAGAATAAGAATTCTATATACTTATTTAATAGCGATAAGAAAAATAGCAGACCAAAAAATTACTCAATGTTTGGTACCTACACGTGGTCCTCTGTGTAATGACTGTATAATTACTTCTTTTACAATATTGTTAGTAAATTGTTGTACGCACACGTTTCCACAAATGAAACTGATAAAAACTACGCCAACTCACTGATGAAATTTTAGTAGTCCTTACAAATAATGCAGTTAGTTTTTAATCTATTTGGTATACATGGTGCTTCTTCTTCGTCAAAATGTTGAGCTTATCATGAATATAAACAGTCCGTAACAAAGAGAGCATATATCAAGAAGTTAAGGTGTTTTCAATTCTTTTACCAATGCATACACGACCGTGAAGGCTGTGAGTGTAGTTTTCGAGTAGAAATACTCATGTCCGATCCGTTTTTTCCGCTGGACTTTCCTGAATCTGAACAACTAGCGACAATACATACCGATTTATTTCCATTTCGATTCGCCACGAATAAAATCTACATAATTTTCCTATGTAATGCACTACTCATTGAAAGCATATCATCGGACGCAACCACCACCATTGCGCGGCGTAAACATTAAAATTACTACTCTTGATGTCTCGGACTGTATATATGCATGTTACAATCCCTCTTAAAACCCGTTTGGAATTTTTATGGACTTAGTACCACATTAATTAAGAATTTAAGGAATTAAAAAAAAAAAATTATATAAAAAAATTACAGCTCTTATTTTATTAAAAAGGGTTTTTTTCTTTGCTTATTTGGTCTTTTTAATTATTAATTGTTCGTTTAGTTTATTAAAAAACGAAGGTTGCTGTATAAACTCAAATTAAGTGAAATATTAACGAAATTTAAGGGGCATGTAAGTCTTAAATGTAATTTTTTTGCGTATATTTTGTTGTCAAAAACATGGGTGTATTCTGACATCCATAGCTTGACGGCGCAGACTTAGAAGTTTCGCCTGCCGTTGTTTTCGTGCACACTGCAAAACAAAATAAAATATTTTAAAGATGATAACAGTTAAAAAGGATACGATAATACGAAGTTCATTAATAAATATAGGGTAAAGTCAGGTATTTAGTCACAAGATTTTAGTATGATAACAGTTAAATGTTGCACATAACAATATTTGTAAACACTGAAATAGACCCATTGAGAACAGAACCGATTAGTTATATTTCTAAATGTATATATTTAAGCATATGTATATGAATGAAGGCAATAATACACTTTGTAAGAAGACAAGGGATTTATTGTTACTTGTGAGACAAAACAACAAAATCACTAGTCTTCCATGCAAAATGTATCTGACAGCGATTAGTTTAGCGAAAAATGTAGTAACACAAGCGTTTCTATTCAACATTATCCCATTACTTAGATAACACACTTTTAACCACACTCACCACTTTAGTACACATACACATATATGTTAAGGTTAATTGATTAATAGTACTTTTTTCTTGTGAATTATAATGAATATTAATATTTTGAATATTTTCATGAATTAGGAAACGTGTTCATACTTTTAAGACGTGTTCGACACCAACCTCTGTTGTAAAAGATACTGGGCCATTTGGATTTGCTTAGGGTTACCAGAAATGGTAATTATGCGGTCAGTTGAACCAGGCAAAGGCTCGTCGATGGTAATGTAGGCACCAGACTCATTACGGATGCGTCGAATACGGCCACCTCCTTTGCCAATAATAGCACCAGCCAACTGAGAATCAATCAATTAGTCAAATTAATCAATAAATTTACGCCCTTCTTAAATTTACTCACATCTTTCGGAATGGTAACCTGCGTACTGTTTTTAGGATCATGACCATTCGGAAGGTTTCCGGAATTACCACCAATGGGCCCATTGTTGTTAGGTCCCGGTCCGAAACCTCCACCACCACCCGATCCCATACCGCCACCAGATCCCATACCACTGTTGTTGTTTGGACCACCAAATCCACCTCCTTGATTCATGCCACCAAAGTTTCCGTTATTCATTTGATTGCCACCGAAACCGCCACCAGGATTACCACCTCCAAAGTTGCCTTGGTTACCAGGACCGAAGCCGCCGCCGCCGCCGCCGCCACCATTGCCGCCGAAATTGCCGCCTGACGGCCCGTTATTTCCGCCAAAGCCGCCGCCGCCGCCGCCGCCATTGCCACCGAAATTACCTCCACCGAAACCGCCACCAAAGTTACCACCGCCGAAATTGCCACCTCCGCCGCTATTATTGCCTCCGAAACCATCATCATTAGCCCAAGGATTTATAAATGGATTATCACGACGGCCGCCACTGCGGCTGCGATCATTACGTCCACCGCGATCATTGCCAAAGTTGTTACCACCGCCACCGCCACCGCCACCGCCGCCACCGCCGCCACCGCCACCGCCACCACGACCTCCACGCGATTGGCGATTGTTGCCGCCGCCGCCGCCTCCGCCACCACCACCGCTGCTGCCGCCACCACCGGAGCCATAGCCGCCATACTCTTCGGCATACATGCGATCGAAGTTTGTGGGATCATAATTATGGACAGGACCCTTGATGGGCGTCTGGAAATATTCATCAAAGCATACATTACATTTCTCACGTTACTATGGAGCTTTTTAAATAAAACCTACTTCTCGAGTCAGAGTGATGACCTCCCGAATAGCTTCAATAACCTGGGCCTGTTTGCCAACAGTTTGCACCACTCGGTCTGTACTTTGTGGCGCGACATTCGAGAAAACCTTCAAAATGCGACATCCAATTTTCTGAAAATAACAATTAAAAAAAAACTTAGTAAATACATAATGGTGCATTTACATGGTATGAAGTCATATGAACATTTGATATGCTAAAATAGAGAGACTACATGTTTTAATGAGGAATAAAATGGTATCGAGTAGGATGCACGTAATGAATTTTTTCATATGAAAAAGAGATACGGTAAACGTAACGTTGTAATGTTAATTTTAGAGGTTACTAAACAAAAGCAATCGTTTCTGTTGAAACTATTCAGTTTTTCATCGTTTAGGTAATTATCAAAATAATTCTATTTTGGCTTTTAACGAAAAGAAATGCAATCGTTAATACTGAAGCTGTACCATGCATTTAGGTGCTAGGTGTTAATAGTGAGCTGGCAATGGCATACAACAAACACTTTTCGTTGATTTATTTTGTTTCGGTGTTAACGATTGATGATTTATTTCGTTTCCACGTTAACGATTGAGTTTTGTTTCGATAATTCAGCTCTGAAACGAAACGAAATTATTTTGATAAGTTATTTTTGCGCATCAACAAACCGAAATTGATTCATATAGTTTGTTGAGCATCCCTGCTGTAAACATACATACAGACATCGGAAATAACCGTCACCAAGTGTCTTGTATGGTGTTTACCACTGACACAAACACTTATCTCTCAAACAAATAAGGGGTATTCTCTGAGTCTTGCAAAGCCCTTGCACGGTGCACGGATTGCACGGTTTGCAAAGCTGTCCCATTCGAAAACCGGTTTTTACCGTGCAATCCGTGCAATATGTGCACCATGCAAGGCCTTTGCAAGACTCAGAGAATACCCCTATAGTGTTTCTCGCCGTGGCATATCACTATGTGCGATCTTTTTGTGTTTTCCGTTGTGGGTTATTTATCAACTGCTAAAATTACCCTTAGGCAAAGAATCTTTGGCAAGGACTTTTATTTTTAATTGTCTTAATTTGTGGGTTATTGTACGACTGAAAAATATAAGTGGGCGTACAAAAGGGGAAGCAAAGCGTTAGGCATTTCATTACACGACATGGGCGTAGCCAGGTAGGGGCAGGGGGGTGCTCGAGCCCCCCTAACTTTCAAATTTTCCTTATATATATATAAAATAGTACCCTGAAATGCCAGCTTAATAGGGTCGAGCCCCCAAACAAAAACAAAGATACGTAAATATAAATGCAAAAATTAAGATCAAGGTAAATTTAAAAATTTTACTAATATAAGGGCAAGGTGAAGGGGAATATGTAGATGTGGAAAATGATAAACATAAAGATGATAGAGATAAATATTAAGAAAAAGATGATGAGAAAAGATGAAGTTACAGGAAGAAAGATTAAAATAAAGGCAATTATAAAGAAAATGATATAGTCACAGAGACTCAACCTGGGAACTATTACGGGATTTTCGGTATTCCCGGGACTTATCGATATAATAATCGATATTTCTATCGATTTTGTTATCGATATTTTTATCGAGTTTGTTATCGTTATTTTTATCGAGTTTGTTATCGATTTTATTATCGATATTTGGCACCGCATGACCGTGACGTTGACGTTGCTTATATATCTCCCTCTCTCTCTCTCTCTATCAACAGCAATATTGATATGTTTCTACGCTCTTCTACGGTGCTCTGCGTACACGTTCGTGGGTAACCGCGCTCTAAGACTTATTTTTCCTCTTTCAGCGATAAGTGTCCAACAGCAACGGAAAAAGATATGCAAATAACCCTTTCCCACTGGGAGGAGCAAACATCTAAAAAAAAAAATAAACCAGCTGTTGTTTTGTGGGTTATTTTTTCTCTTAGATAGTGACGATTATTTTTCGACCTCTGATTTTCATACATCTTCCAATGAGAAGTTTAATAGATGCGGGGATACCAATGAGTTTTTTCCCCGTTTTGATGTTTCTTTAGTAAAAAAAACACCTAAAAAGAGGAAAGCGGCAACTCTGACATTTAAATTTTCACATCCATGTAAAAGTTTTGAATTTTAAAAATCAAAAACAATAAACAAACAAATTCAAAACACAGAAATTGTTTGTACTAGAATTTTTTATATAGAAGCAACTCACGTATGGTAGACAATAAAAATAAAAAGAAGTGTGATAGATAAAAAACTAAAAAAACAAGACATTCCACAAAGTTTTAATGAGCTTTTTATCACATTTTAGTAAAAATAGGCCGATAATTCCCAAGCTGGCAAAGAAACGAAAATGTGTATTTTATGTTGTTTACAAAAACCTTGCCATATATATAAGTCAAAATTATAGAAGGCACGTATACTACTCCATGGCGCAATAAACAGGTGAAGTAATAAAACAGCTTTCTCATTTTATTTTCTAACATTCGGCCTTATAGTCAAATTTGAAAGGTAATTTTTCAAATAAGGCAGTGTCAAAATCTTTTTTCTCGCTCTAATTACTTCACCTGGTATAATTCCGCCATGTACTGCTCCCTTTCATTGTTTCATACAGTCGATGCTTCTTTCTGGCTTTAACAAAACGCAGGGATACCACTCTTATTTTGGTAAAAAACGATCGTAATGTATTTTCAATTCGAAATCAAAGAAAACAGTCCGCGACAATTTTTGCAAACTACTGCGTATCATAAATTCAGAGAATTGACGAAAAAAAAATATGGTCTCATGGTTCCGGTAAGAGCGAATTTTATTTGCGAATTCGTTTTTAATGCATGTGCATACATTGGTTAAGTGGCTTACCGAAACCACAGCATTCAAAATGTAGCCATTTCACTGTCAAAGCGATGTCGCGAGTATTCGCTCTTACCGAAAGCGCCGCCCAAGTCTGCATTGTTATTTTTTCTCATTCTTTTGTTTAGCGCTATAACCGCTTAAGAAATTTTGGCCGAATCTAATAAAGCAGCACGGGCCTGATTTCAATCCCAGTTTCCGACCAACATCGGCGGAGGGGCGGTTGCCCCTCGGTAGGCAATGGCAAACCACCGAGCGTATTCTGCAATGAAAACAGCTTCTCATAAAAACACAGTCGCTGTTCCGAGTCGAAATAACTATAGCTCCCTCCCCTTTGTGTGGCAACATCAAGGCGCACGCCACATATCGGAGGAGAAGCTAGGTCGGACACTAACATATTGTGTGAGCGGTAATCTATATATCGAGCCCTAACCGCCAAAATAACGTAAGCGACATTTTTTTCAAAATTTTCTTTTTGATGCAGAAATATTCCTAGAGCATCTACATGCAATATACCCAAAATTTTTCTCAGAACTAAAAAAAGTTTGGTGAAAATATGTTTAAAACGTTTCAATTTTTTTTGTGAAATTTTTTTCGTTCTGGAGGCAGAAGAAATGCAAAGAGAATTAAAAAAAAATATATATAAAAACTTTAATTATTATTTTTTATTATAGTGCCTCTGTGGCGTTCAATTCATTTTATTGTGTTATATTTATGGCAACTTTATTATTTGTTCAAGTTAAATTTTCAAAATAAAGATAATGGGGGTGCTGGGAACGTTTATCTCGCTTGATACATCCTGTGTACTACATTGAATAAAATTACTGATTTTTTCAAGGTTTTTCAATCTTGAAAACTGAGCAAATCGGCGTGACTAAGTCCATGGTCCTTTTAATATTATATATACATCCGAAAATATTAAAACGTTTGAAATAAATCTCGTCTCACTTTTTGTACTTTTCACTTGGTTGCTGAAGTAATGAAGAATAGAAATTTCATAAGGGAAAATTATAGTTTTTGTAAGTTTTATATTAATATCTTAAAAACTTGTAACTTATTGAAAAATGATAAGTGAACGTGAGGTACTAAATTTAATAACCCTTAATCTAATATATCGTCCTGTTTATAACAATTAACGCATTCCATAGATATTACAAGACAAAGTTTCATTTTCAAAATTCATACACTTTGATTCAGTTGGTTAAAGGTGTTTCACGTTTTTTCCATACAAAGTATGTCGACAATTTTCTTTTATATGGAGGACACTGCCAGCAAAAAAATTGTCAAAAATCAACGGAATTTTTTAGCCGCTTGAAACTTGCACTTCTTCAGACTAGAATTGAATGTGCTACAAAACTGCATACCAGAATTTTTTCTAAAGATTCTGATTAAAAAGTTTGAAATATGGGTGAAAAATTGCAAAATTTTTATAATTTTTATACAAAGTTTAAAATCTGAATTTATATGGTGTTTGTTGTATAGCCAGCTAGGCTTTTATAAAAAAATAATAAACATTAAATAAACAAAAGACAAATAGCCAAAACTGGTCAAAATATCGCACTCCTATTATTTTGTGGACAACTGTAGGTTTTAAGTTAATCTTTCGTGGCCAATAACAAATGGCTTGGGCCTAAGACATCATAATATTACTATAACAATATGGTCAGGTCAAATGCCTTTTATTTTCCCTCATACAAAATCGGCCTACCCTAATATACATTTATATATTTTAGGTTAGGTTAGGTTGTCGCGGTTGTCTATACGACACACTTAGGCTCAAGGCCCATTGTGCTAACGCATGTGGGGTCAGCAACTCCAAGTTCCTCCTAAAACATTTTGAGGATACATATGTATTAGGAATGTTAAGGTCTCGAAAATCCCGGGATTCTTGGCAAGTAATCCCGTGATTTTCGGGATTTGTAATTTGCACTGATGGCAATAATAGAAACTCATTTTCTTGACCAGTATTGGCTATATTTCTTTTTTTATTTAATAATAAATATTTTTTTATAAATGTCTAGCTCATTGTACATATAACACAGCGCGATAGTAAATTTTAAACACAAATATCAATATATTCGCGAAGCCCTGGGCCAAATATAGTAAAACTGCGTTTTTAGTTTTTCACTCTGACGTCAGTAATTCAAAAATGATTTAAAAAATTCATAGAAATGTGCTTAGAGAAGAAGTATGGGTATAAAATTAATGAGGAAATCCTGTAGAATTAAACAGATTCAAGTTTCTTTATTATTATTTATGATTCAAGTCATTTTAAAATTTTATCCCTGAAATTTCACAATA